TCGTTTTCATTTATTTTTGTAGAACAGAAACCCCAGCACCTTATGCATCTCTCCGATTGTAGCCAGTCTTCTGTCTTTTAGGGCTTGGATGGGAGCAATCTTGGCAGGGTCCATAGTGCTCTCCGCTTTGGAAGACTATCTTCCCGAGGAACCTTACTATCTTCCGGAACAATTCACACTTCTGAGCTGTCAACTTTATGCCATGTTCCTGGTATTTCTATAAGATGGTCCAGACGTTTTCCATGTGATCCTCGAAGGTTAAGCTGTTGACTAGATTGTCGTCCAAGTGTGGTTGAAACATTTCATTTCGCAGGCCAATCAGGCACTCGTCCATGCTTCTCTGAGATTCCACTGGTGCTGAACTTAGTCCAAATTGGATTCTCACCCATTCATAGTGTCCCCAGAGAGTGATACAAGCAGTTATGGGTCGACTCTTCTTGTCCAGAAACCCTTGATGATATACCGTTACCCTATAGCGAGTCCAACATGTCCTGAATCCTTGGTATTGGGTGGCAATCTGGTACTGATTTTTTGTTTGATTCCCAGTAGTTGCAGTACAGCCTCAGGCTTCCATCCTTCTTCCAGATGCATACCACTGGTGAGGAGTATAGTGATTATGATGGGGTTACCCATCCTCTGTTGATCAGGTCCTGTAAGTACTCATTCACTTCTTGGTGTATTGACTTGGAATGAACATGTCAGCCCTCTGAACTGGTGTTGCATCATTCAGTGTAATGTGCATGTTCAGAGATGGGATGCATCTGATATCATTGTCGTCATAGGCGATCACATTGCATTCCTCCCTCAGCATGTCTTACCACCTGCTGATGATTCTCGCTGAAGTGGTCCAAGGTCACGGGGAGATACCACTGCCATTCGCCTTTGACGTTTTCCTTGGCTTGCATAATTTCTCCTGGAGTCTACCTCCAGTCATTCTGCTTATGGCAGTCTTGTTTCTAAATTACTGCAGGTCTCACCTCAGCCGCGTATACTGTTTTTACTGTCGGGAGGTGGCCCACAATGTTCCGTTGGTCTAATACAATATCATGCTTCATTGTAATTCACAATCTAGTTGTTATCCGTGTCTAATTCCTTTTTTGTGCTTTTGCTAGTCCCTCGTCAATGACCAAACCCTCCGGCAGTGAATCCTGGTCATTTGAGACAAAGAGTACCTCTTTGTCTTGGTACAGGAGACCTACCACATTGGTACAGCCATGGGTGGTGGTGATCTAATCTGTCCTGACTGTACCCACAGCACCCCGGGTATCCTGTGCCCATATGAGATTCAGCAGAGCATCCGCTGTTTTTGGTCTTATGGAGAAGGAACACTACCTGTCTCGATGATTATCTTTTGGAAACAGTGGCCTGTGCTGTTTTCACCATGCTCATCACCACCTCGGTGACATTAAATCCAATGATTGGGTCTTTTGCGATGTTTGGGGTGCTTAACACCAAAATTATTCTGTGTCCTCGTTACAACACAGCTGGAATATCACAGAAGGGAATCACTTTTTGGTTCGCTGTGAAACCTGCCAAGGTCCCAGGTCCCAGCAGCTCTTTCAGTCGTGGTATCGGGGATGTATTGCCTCCTCCACTGTTCATTTATTACACTGGTTTTGGCTCTGGTATCACACAAACCCTGTACTATTCCATTCAGGAGGCGTCGTATGAGACACTGCTGTTCAATCAAGTTTAGTAGCCTCGACTGGCATCCTGGTGGAAGGTAGATGACTATTGTAGTGCATATCACAGCCTGTTTCGGGAGTCTCTGGCTCGCTTTGATGGCTGTCTGTGGATGGCCAGGGTCATTGTAGGCCCCTTCCGGTTTGTCGATCACTCTTTCCCATGGTGGTTGGTACCCCTGTTGGTGGGACACTTGGTGGAAGGCTACTGCGGGTCCAGACGGTGGTTATTCCACTTGGCAGCCCCTGGACAGGTGCCCTGCCTGCCCGCACTTGTAGCAGTTGTTGCATACCTCCCCTGTCCTGGCCTCCTGACATCCCCTACAACCCTTCAGTGTTCTCCACACCTGTGGTTCCAAACTGTCTCCCTATTGGCCTATCTTTGCCTCTTATCACTGCGCAGAACATTTTCTTCAGCTCCGACACCTCAGCCATCCACTTCTGAGTATCTGGAAGTGGGTGCTCCTACTGTTGAGGCACCTTTCAGGAAATCCCAGAAGTTTCAACCCCAGCTTGTTTTGTCGGGGTTGTCCTGTTCGACTCAACTGAGTATCCACAGTTTGATTGATGACATCTCGACGAATCTTCCATGCGCGTCTACTCATCCATGGACTCTTTCCCTCAGCTAACTTCCTGAGCTTGTGTTGCCTTTTGGCTTCCAATTTTGCAGCTTCAATTATATTTTCAAAATAACGTACATGGTGTTCATAATTGACAAGTCAATAACAATACAATACATGTTGCTTTAATGTTTGTTGTAGAATGATTTATGGTACTCTATCTGATTACAATCGTTCATATTAAAGAGTGTATCAAGTTTATCTAGTTCACGAAGGTGCGCATGTTGAGTTATTGTTATGAGAATTAACATGGTGAAGGATGTTAACATTGGTTAATACTGTTAATAATATTTTGGTATCTTTATAGTACATAAGTGGGTAAATAGGGGACTGTAAAATGGACAATCGTATTTTGGCGGGAAATAACTTGTTTAAATTAACTATGACCACTAGGGGCACGAAGTTGTGGTGCCACAACAGCGAAGCCGCTCTGTCGGAGCCGTGCCAGCAACGCCATCATGGGAGAGTGTGATGCCGCAGCAGCAAAGCCGTTCTGCCAACGCCGTGGCCGCGAAGCCGCCACCTCCGAGCGACGGGGCCGACGCTGCTCTCCCCTCACCACCCCCCACATGAACACACACACACACATAGAGCCCCCACATGAACACACACACACCCCCACGTAGAGCCCCGAGGGGAAGTCACCTTGCCGACAGGTTTTCACCCAGAAGCCCTCTCATGGGACTAATCTTCACGGTTTCCTGCGACCAGGGCATTGGGCGACCTCCCCCGAGGCTAACTCGCACCGCGGCGCCGTGACTTGGGTTGTAATCACGTGGTCACGACGGGGCTGCTGAGCCACCGCGGGTAGAAAACACAAACAACACACACGGGTCAGCAGGCAGGTAGGGGGCGGAGCCACAAACGGCGGGAAAACAGGGCGGCCCTCTGATTGGTAGGACAAATGCGCTTGTGGACCAACGCAGCAGCCCCGAGGTCGTCCCGTTTGATGTAGAAGGTGAAGTGCGGACATCTGAGAGAGCACCGGTCCGGGGAGAGTGGCGGGAAATCCGAGCCACCTGATTGGCCGGGAAGGCCAGTGGATCAGCGCCGAATTATCTTTGTTGTAGAGAATAATAAGAGGCAAGAGAGGGTAGGGATAGGAGTTTGCGCTCTCCTCAAGTCAGCGATTGGATCAGTCAGCTTGCCGGCCACTGGGTCGTCCGTGTGACGAGCCTCAGCGAAGCCAGGCCCCGCTCCCCGCAAGAACCTCGGGCAGCCTCGTTCCCCCGCGATGGCCCGCGCACCCGAGGCGAAACGTGAGCACGAAAGAGAGAGTGGGGATTTAAGCGTAAAAGCCTAGGGAGTCTAATTCCAAGGGGACGAGGTAGATCGGGTTTAGACCATCGGGAGATAGGTTAGACCTGCCCTGCTGACTCGGACTGACTCGGGTAATAGTATCTCGCAGACACACCGGGAATAAATCGTCAGTGATCAATAAACCTTGTCGTGTGGTTTCTGCAAGTGTGGAACGGACACATGATGGTGTGAGTCCGCTCGTCATGGTACGGGGATGTATCAACTTGAGGGATTTATCCCGAATTTAAATTACAATTAAAACTTAGCAGGGCCTTCCTGAAAAGTAGTTTAGACTCATTGTGGCTCCGCTGGGTAAAGAAGCATAATACAGTTTAACACGTAGGCTTTCGCGACCAATATCATCCATAATCCAGCTTTTTTGGGTTCGATCGCGTAAATATATATTTAAGTGTAATACAATTGTTCAAATTGTCAGCAGCATTCCATGTGAAGGTTGGCTGGGGCTGTTGCCTCTGGAAGGTGAAATTAGAGAACTTGCAAAAAGGCCCAGACGGAATTTCCTGTAAAAGGGGTCCATGAGCGCAGATGGTCAAACACTCACGGAATTGCACGAGTACAGGCACAGCTACTATGCCTAACAATCGATTATCAGCCTTAACTCATAACTCGCTCCAATATGCAATTATTTCTGAGGGTCACAAGACAATTATAAACACAAGATAAAAGTTAATGGTAGTTAGGTTATAGCAAGATCAATGCAGTACTGTACTACAATTCAACGTTTCAAAAAGGAAATGCAATGTATGAAGTAAATTGTCAAAAGTATTCAAAGGTAAGATGTAATCAAGTCAAAGGCAAAACTCGTAAAACACATAATCCAGTTCCAGCTAACCGAAGGCAGTCTCGAGCTTGGGAGAATGTATAAAAGTCTACAATCATTGCCAAACTACAGTCTATAGAATTAAATGGCTAGAGCATTTAAAGTACTCATGATATAGGAAATCAAGGAGGGTGGATAACCCTCCATACTCAGGTTCAAGTTACTCTTTCTTGTACTTGTTGGGTGGGTGGTCCGGCACTTAGTGACATTGCTTCTAATGAAACGTGGTTAGAATAAGATCAAAACAGACTCCGTGCACAGGTAGTGGGAGAGAATATCATTCAAATGAATTGAACTATATACACTGAGCTGAGCTCTGTGTTAGAACTGGTGTCATTTTAAGACGAGCACGAATACATTTTACGTGATTCTGACAGATTGTTGTAAATTCCCTGTAGCTTTATTAGAAACCACTCACAAATGCAGTTAACAGCCTAATGTGTTTTGTGCCAACATCTGAATGCACAGTGTGTGCATTACTCCCTCTTTGTCCAGAGAGAGAGCCACTCCCCCTTGCTTTCGATTGCTCAGTGGCTGAGTTTTTTGCCTGGCTTTCATTTTGGGTGCTATAATACCAGAGGGTCTTGCGCTGGAATGTAATCCAGTACTTTTACAACGCCGGGCTGACTGAACGCAAGGTACAATGGCTCCAGCTACCAGATGGGCGATCTGTTCAGCCGGAAAGATCAGCCACGACTTTGTGGTCGCATTGAGAACCCTGCCTGCTGATGAGCATGAGGTACATTTGCTTTTTACGAAAAAAGTACTTATATATTGCCTTGGTATTCTAAATGTAGTGTAATACTAGTGGTGGAGTCTACGGTACGTATCCCTCATGATTGCAAGCGGCTTGTTTAAACATGAATTGTTTCTAACATTGCAAATTCAATGTCATGATGGCAATGGCGTGACCAATGCAAGATCAACGCAAGTTCAGTGTATAACTCTCGGCCACGTGTAGAGTATATCTGTAGAGTTTGTGTTGAACTATTGTTTTGCATGCAAATACGTTCTGTATATGTGGCGGTATACACAAAAGCATATGCATGTAATCAGGGTTTTTTTTTTATAATCCTGAGAACATAGTTCATATAAGCATGAGTTTTGGTATTCGCATTTTGTATTTAATATTAAATAATGTGTTCATGCTGCTGCTGCGTTTGCAATGGTGCACAACAGCTATTCAACATAACCGTCAACAACAACGTGGCCTTAAAATAAAATATTTCCTAGGTGACGTTTCGGGCAATGGCTCTTCATAGCACGTACAATATTTGTTTAAATGCATTTTAAAAGGTGTCAATGTGTTTAAGGGTAAGGATGTTTAACGTGTTAACAACATGTGGTCGGAATGCAGTGTTGGAGAAACATAACTTTTGCCAACTCGACTTGTTTATGAAAGGAATGTTGGAGGAAGAGAATGATTAACAGCGTGAGGTATAGACTAAAGGCGAGCTCAGAAACAATAGTTAACGTTCAGACATTGTGTTAGGATAAACATGAGGCACATTAATAGGGTTAACCCGGGAGCACGTTTATTTATGATTCATGACCAGGAAATAACGTTGACTAAAATCATTTACATGCAGTGCAAAGGCGGGTTGAAGTGACAATGTGTATTGCCATCGAGTATAAAAGATGTGTTGCAAGGCTGAGTTGCACAATGATGACCGTTATTCGGGGCATTTGTGCATACGCATGTTTTCATATATATAATACATTTACATTTGCCCAACATTATTGTTTTACTGTGAAAGTTTGGAGAATGCACAGTCGTCTATAATCCGGTGCTTACCCCGGGACCCGAGTACCGAACGGACTTCGCAAATCTATACATTGTGGAGGACACGACCCATCAACTTACGTGAGACGGTCAGGAGCAGACTTACTGCGGCCATCACGTTGACACACACACAAAAGAGACAAAGATCCTCCCCCACAGCCCCCTCTTTGTTTTACTGATTCCATTGCGTACGGCGCGTGCAGCTCGGAGAGGGGAAGAGAGGGGAGAACGAGGGCGCCGGGGAAGGGGTTGAGATAACTCGCTCAGAGTCCGGATCCGAGGAAGACGGGAGGGGGGGGGGTAAGTGGACGTGCGCCCCATTCTGCCTCTGAAAGAGGCGCGCAAGTCGGGGTGGAGGGAATCATCGGACACGTTGGGTTCCCTGCCATGTGCGGGGAGGGGGTGGTCAGTGTGGCCATGGTTGCCGATGTTCTTTTCCGGGTCTCCTCGCGAGTCCGTGCTGGAGGTGTAAAGGTCGGTGGGGTGGCGAGCGAGGGGAGGGGGGCTTTAACTCTGTGGGAGGAGGAGGAGGCGGGGTCATAAAGAGTCGGCCTCGACCTCGGGTAAGGGGGTCGCGGATGAGTCGGGGTGCGAGTAAGTGGAGAGGGCAGCCTCTCTGGGTCGCGGGGTGCCCAGTGTTCTCCGGGTGGAGTGTCCTCTCCACCAAGCTCAATGTTGGGTAGCCCCTGGACCGCACAACCACGCCGAGCCATTAATGCCTTCTCTGCTGGCTGGCCGAAGGGATTCTAATCCCCCCATTTTCCCGGTTCTGATCATCGTCCCCATTTTCCCCTTATAGCCTTTAACAGACTGTTGGGGCGAGTGCTGTTAGCGAGCACCTATGAAGGCCGGCACTGTGGCACGCGAGGGGGTGGGTGGCCAGCACCACGCCCGGCCGCCTTTGTTTCCGTTGCGGTGATGTTTTACGCATCGCACCAGGTACTCATTTCAAGCCGAGTCAACCTAGGGGAGGCCCAAGATGGGTTCAATTAATCGTCACTGGTGTTGGCCATGAGCAGGAATCGAACTGGGGTCACCTTCAAAGTGCAGTGCGTTAACCGTTGCACCACCGCTCCCCCAACACAACGATCCCCCAGTATAGCCATAACAGACTGTTGGGGCAAGTGCTGTTAGCGAGCAGCACCTATGAAGGCCTGCAGGGCACACGAGGGGGTGGGTGGCCAGCACCACGCCCGGCCGCCTTTGTCTCCCCAGTGGCGATGTTTACACACCACACTAGGTACTAATTTTAAGCTGAGTCAACCTAGGGGAGGCCCAGGACCGATTCTGATAATCGTCACTCGTGTTGGCCGTGAGCGAGAATAGAATTCGAGTCACAGGTTTAGTAGCGCAGCGCGCTAACCGCTCCCCACACTTTCATAAACACATGCATACAGCCCCCTATTGTCCCCCTCCTGCAGTTAAAATGTCCTCTGTCAATTGTCATTGATATGTCAAAATTGATACTCAACTTGAAAAGTTGCAATGGAAGTATAAGGTTCAAGTGGTGGGAGCACTGTTTCCTCCGAGCATAAATTCCACACATTAAGACCGCACAGATTTGGATGGGGTCAGTTCAGGACAGCTGCGGCACTTGGCAGGGGGTTTATAGCAGAGGACAAAATGTTCCAAACCCTGATAGAGGGAGGTGGGGGGGGGACTTTAACTAAAGATACAAAACATTCAACACATTCGGCAATGACATTCAATAAATTCGTAAAAATAAATTATAATAGCCGACGTTTCGGGCAATGACCCTTCAGAGCACGTACATGAATTATCAGTGCCAGAAACGTTGCCTATTACATATATTTTTTACATTTAAGGGCACAGTGTTATTGACAAATGTGAGCTTTGTTATTTGTGCTTTGTGCACCACTGCCAACCCAGTATTAGCAAAGTATTATTATTCTACAGATACAACTATAGCGAGGGTTTTGGTAGAATTTAACAAGGAGACAGAGTGTAAGGGTTGGATGAGGATCGGCAAGATTCCGGAAGAATGCCGGAGTCAGGAGAAATTAAAAAAAAAAACAGGAAACTGTAAAGAGGCTCTGTACTGGGTCGTTGTGTTGAAGATAGCCATGAAGATAGCCCAAGTTGTGCAGTGGGAAGGTGCCTGTCAACTAGCGTGTAGCAGAGGGGAGATGCCTGCTCGGTAGAGGAGTGTGTGCATTATCAGGAGATGTTTGCAGATAGAGGACCTAAGGAAAGGTCATATCGGCTCGAGTGTGTGTGTGATGAGATAACGAATCAGGCTTAGGATAGCGCGATATGGGCATGGGTCATGGCACAGCAAAGTGAGTGTAAATATGCCAATAACCACACGACGATGTTGATGTAAAACAGTGATTTATTTCACACTATGTTAGGTTATATTGGCTATAGATAAAATCCATTTTAATAGAATGTCCTGTGGCGACCTTTCGTCGTGACACAAGATTCGGGTGTACATTTATCCCCCAATTTTTATTTATTTTCAGCCCCCCCCCACCCCGCCCCACAAAATAAACCCGTCGCGACTTGTAGAAGTAGTCGATATATCAGGCCACGTTGTTTTGAAGACAGAATGTACATTCAAAATGGAACAAAAGGTCAAGGCATGTACTTTGGCATCGTGCCTGAGGAGGGGGGGGGGCAAAAAAAATCGCCACATTCGTTTTTACAAAAAAACAATTGGCAATGACCATACTGCACAGCAGAGGGTTACTTAAGGACAGCATTAGCAGCAGTGATGCACACGCACAAAACACTTAACCCTTTTGTTGTTACCACTGCCTTGTGACAGAACATACTTTGTATAGGACCATTGTTCGCAACCTCAGAGGTATATTTTAGTTTTGTTTAAGTCAGTGATAATAATACTGTTCATGGATTGAGTTTATATGGAAAATAAGACTTCAAGGCAGACGAAATTCAAGAACACAACTACTCTTGTGGATACATAATTAGGCTGCACGTTTTGGGCTGTCTGACAAGCATTTGAGGCGAAAGTAATTTCCATAACGACTTCAGTCACTGCTTCATTTGTCCTCAACGTGTATGTAGCCACTCGCTTTTGTTCGGCTGACTCTTCTTGTAAAATACAGGTGGCTCAAAACGTTTCCCGAAAATCGGCAGAACTGGGCCATGGGCAAGCCCACGTGAGAGCGACAAACATAGCTGTTGCTTGTGGTGTGGCATTGTTGAAGTACTAGACGTATGTTCTAAAAATGTTATCTAGTACTAGCCTTATGCCCGTCCAAGGACGGGTGTATTGCAGTAAATCTTAAACTTGCAAGCGAAAAGCAGACCGCGGACGTGATATATCCATTGCATCCATTCGTGTGCAATTTGTAAGGCCGCGGTGACACAGACTTATTTCATTTTAAAGTTATAATCCCGTGTTCATCACGACGTCCATTTTACTTTGATGTCTCAACAGCGTTACGGAGATCACGTGAGGGTTTTAAGTTGACGCCGAGGAGGGTGGAGGTGTCTCGGCCCCCCATGTGGAGTGGCGTCAGCCGCTAATTATTATGAATGGGGGTGGGTGTCCATTTGGAGGATGTCACCTGCTCATGATTATTAATGGGGGGGGGGGGGTCCATGTGGAGGACGGAACCTGTTCATAAATATTCATGAGGGGGGCTGGTCGATGTGGAGTGACGTCACGAGCGTGAAGGACATTCCTGGGTGATTATAGCAGGTATAAGATATATTTTACTGTGTTAAGTTGCATCAAGTTCAGGAGTCCAGTCTTCAGGAGGAGCCCAGTCAGTGCTCTATTACAAAATTACATAAGCTCCATGTATCTCGAGCCAATGTCCCGATAACTAAAACACATAGGTGTGTTAATATGTAATTACCCATCTATCTCATAGTGCTGGGCATGGTTTGGGGGGGGGTTAATTTCACAGCTTAAGCAAGCACTGCATTCAGTTGTATTAAATTAGTTCATGTAATTGTCACTGCAG